GAACTACATGTTGCTTGGAATTGATTCCCTAGCTGGATCACTTCTCTCATCCTTCATCACTTTTCTCCTCTCCCAAATACACTTTTCCACTTTTATGTGGCAAATCTCACCTGTTTTGTATGCGCTGGAAACAAGTATCCTTCACGTTGATTTAGAGTAAATTTTATTGGTGCCGGGATAATATGACAACAATGTAATAGATTTTGTTTAGTTTTTACTTCTTTGTTTTTACACAGCATAATGCTCCAATTCCTCAAGGAGGGCGTGGTGCAGTCCAGTTTGTGACTCAGTATCAGCATCCAAGTGGGCAGAGACGCATCCGAGTGACCACTATTGCTAGGAAGTAAGTTGTATTTGTTAGAGATTAATTTACGTACTGAAACTATTCTGGGTAGTGCTTCCAAACTGAATTTCTTTTTAGGGCGACATATATGATTTAGAGTGAACATTTATGACTAGTAGCATTTTATTTCTTTCTAAATCAACTTATTTGCTAGAATATTCATTAAGAACTTTGAACTGTGAGAACAATTTAGAAAAGTACTCTTGAGACACACACTTCAGAATATTCTGTTATTTTGAAGAGGAGAAAAACCAAACAAATACATATTATCCTGTACGAGGCAATAGTAATATCTATATGAAGCATTATATATATATGTGTCTGTGTATATATAAAATAACAGTAATTACTAGCATTAATTTTCAACTGATAATAAAGTTATTAGCTACTTTTATCATTGTTTTCTTCAAGTGTTAATAGATATTTAATTTGCCTACCAAGTCTTTATTCATCTTTTGCTTTGTGGATTGGGTACTGTCTTGAGAGGGAATGAATGCAAAAGACTTAAACATACTTGTTTGGCTATATAATGGTGTGGTATAGACCAGTGTTTCTCAAACTATCAATGGTGAAGGGCTGTTTTTTTCCCCCCTTTTTTTATTAAGTACAATACTTTCATTATATACAATACTTTAAAAAAATAATTTATTTTATTTTTGTTGGTGTTATTGGCAGTACATATAGCAAAACATACACCGATTCAACAGTTTCTACATGTTCAATTCAGTGACATTGATTACATTTTTTGAATCGTGTAACTATTCTTACCCTCCTTTTCTGAGTTGTTCTCCCCCATTAACATAAATTCACTGCCCCCTAAGGTTCCTGTCTAATCTCTTGAGTTGCTGTTGTCAGTTTGTTCCCAGTAGATAGTTCTTAAAATAGTACAATGCTCAAGGCAGACATTCTTTACTAGTTAAGCTAAACTATTGTTTGGTTTTAAGAAGACTTC